GAGCGGGCAAGGTGAATCCAGCCCTGGGGCCGGCAGCCGGAGCGCTTGGGCTGGGGTGCCGGCTCCATGGGCAGCGGCGCTCGGCACGATGATGGACGTTAACAGCAGCGGCCGCCCCGACCTCTACAGCCACCTCCGCTCGCTCATCCTGCCGGAGGTGGGGCGCGGGCTGCAGGACCTCAGCCCCGACGGTGGCGCCCACTCGTTGGTGAGCTCCTGGATGCCACACCTGCTGAGCGGCGTCCCGGAGGTGACGGCTAGCCCCGCGCCCACCTGGGACGCGCCCCCGGACAATGTCTCCGGCTGCGGGGAGCAGATCAACTACGGCAGAGTAGAGAAAGTTGTGATCGGCTCCATCCTGACGCTCATCACGCTGCTGACGATCGCGGGCAACTGCCTGGTGGTGATCTCGGTGTGCTTCGTCAAGAAGCTCCGCCAGCCCTCCAACTACCTGATTGTATCTCTGGCGCTGGCTGACCTCTCGGTGGCTGTGGCGGTCATGCCTTTCGTTAGCGTCACCGACCTCATCGGGGGCAAGTGGATCTTTGGCCACTTCTTCTGCAACGTCTTCATCGCCATGGACGTCATGTGCTGCACGGCCTCGATCATGACCCTATGCGTGATCAGCATCGACAGGTAAGGGTCAGGCGGCCCGGTCCCAGACTCCGCTGGGGATGTGCTGGGCGCTGAGCTCGCGCCAGCCTTTCCTGGGAGGATCAAGCCAGACTTCACCGTGGGATGAAGGGCTGAGCTTAAAATACAACCCCACACCCATTCCCCTACACCAACCAGGCAACTTCAAGCACAGACTAAGCACACCTTGAAAAGAAACCGTGAACAGTTTCTGGTTTAGTATAGTGATGATTCTAAGACCAGAGTTTTTAAAGCACCAACAATTCCACCAGGGGGTTCCTTTGCTTTTTTTTTAAAATTTTTATTTATTTATTTGTTTTAAAAGAATTTGTTTTGATGCTCTCTAGCTTGACAAACCATTGTTGTGACCCACAAAATATTTTCTCCCTTTAAGAAATCAGTCAAGAGGGGAAAGGCACCGTGCTTCCCAGACTCTGGAGGATGAAGAAGGCCCTTGAATAGCCCTAGCATTAGGTTCTTAAACCCTGCGCTCTTACGAATGCTAATTCTGAATTTTATTCTCGTGAAAGTCTGGTTTCAGTTTCCTGCAAGCTTACCGACGGGAGCCTTACTCCTGTCTTAAAGGTTGGTTCTAGTCTTTTGTCATATTCCTTGGGAATCTAGGACTCTGATCTCGAGAACTCCCCCAGTGGAGCAATGAAGCAGAGGTTGACCATCTTTCGGGGATGCTGGGAAAAGAAAAAAAAAAACAAAAAACAAAAAACAAAAACGCTGCTTTGGGGGGGTGGAGTAGGACCATCCTTGGAGTTTCTTCAGACTCTAAGAATATGGGGCTTTGAGATGGAGCTGCTCTTTGGCCTTAGACATATGCAAATGACAACTTAGAGTATAGTTTCAATACTCTCTCGCCTCAGAACAATTCGGTTTCATTTGTAACTGAAAAATATGAAACCTCAATACCCACAGTTGAATTCTGCTGGTGACTTCAACCCAGCCCAGGACTATACCCTGTTGTGTTTAATGAAACAGAGAACTAGCTGCTTCTTTTCTTAGTGGACCCGCGGAACCTTCAAATGTGCAGCTCTTTCAGCCTGCGGAGAACAATTGATGGCTCTGCATTTGAGATGACAGTGCCTCGGAGGATGCACAGGCGTGTAGCTGAGGTTTCTCCCCCCCTTTCTCCTTGAAAACACTGCTGTGCTTGTGCGTGGTTTGTTGTGTTTGAAATGTCTTGACCAGTGTTTATCATTACTAAAATAAAGGGAACGATAGGAAAGGGGATGTTTGTCAAGGAAAACATCGTAGTTGTATTTAGGTAGTGATTTAGAAAAAAAAAAAAAGATGATCCTGATATTTTTTTGTCATGACAGGGGCTTCTGACAGCAAACAAGAAATTATTTTAAGTCTGGAGCATGAACTGCCTATGTGAGAATGTTGTCACCAAACTTGGCAGCTGAAGTTCTGAATTACTGTAGTTAAAAATGACAAAAGCATATGCATTTACAGTCTGGCTGTGGCAACAGGAGCTCGGTGTGTGCACTCGATATACATAATAAGTACATCCACGAGTGACATGCACAGACACTGACTGCTCAGCCAACCAGAAACAGTTCTCCCATGATTGGAGTTCTTGTAAATGGACCTTAGTGCCTTAAAACAAATATCAGTGCATGCTGCGAGCGATGGCGTGATAAGCCTTTCTTCATCTTGTAATTGGAAAATGATAAACAGTGTGTTGTGCTCACTTGTCCGCTGGTGCTTCTGTGGCTGTGGGCACCTTCAGGTTCAGCTGAGCTCACCCTGTGAGTCCTATACTTGGGCTAAAGGCATCCTTCACTCCGTGCGCCCATGCAATTTGGTGCTATCAGGATACCCTGAAGACAGCATACAGGTTAATTCTTCTAGGCAAGATCTCAGCTTTTCATTAACTATATCCTTGTGACTGTTACAAGTTATGGCAATGTAGGCATATATTTTATCTTTTGTTCCTCCAAGAATTGACTCATTGGTGAATTCCCATCTAAATCGAATTTTAGATCTGCGTATTATTTTTTTAAGATAAAATGAATTGGTGAAATTGGCAGAAATACTGATTTTTTTTCTCCCAAGACTGTCAATGCTAAATGTCGGAAGAATTAAAAATACATTTATAATTAAGGTGAATTATCTCAGAAAAAAGTAGTTTCTTTCGCTCTGCTGTGGGACATGCCAATGACACAGAATGCACTTTCTAAACAATCTAGTCTTCATTCATTCCCTGAGTAACTAGAATAGGTGGCATTGTACTTTACACAGGCAACCAAGGACGAGTAACGCTATTCTTTTTAGCTCACACCATGCTATTATATTTTTTTTTGATATCTGTTGGAGTATAGCTGGCCAAAGTGAAACCTGAAAGTTTTCTTTACCATGTCCTACCATGTTGGACTACTTGCCCAGGGTAGGTGGAGACTACTCATTTGTTTCCCTGGCAGCCCAGACCCAAATAATCACACAGAACCTATATTACTTACAACATTGCTTGGCCAATAACTTAGGCTTCTTATTAACTAACTCTTACATCTTAAACTAACCCATTTCTATTAATTTGTGTACCGCCACGAGGCTGTGGCTTACCGGGTAAGGTTCTGTTCTGGAGTCTTTCTCCTTCTGCAGGTACATGGCATCTCCCTGACTCCGCCCACTCTCTGTCTTTATCTCTGTTCGGGTTTCCCCACCTGTCTTTTCTCTGCTAAGCCATTGGCTGAAACAACTTTATTTATTAACCAATGGTAATAAAACATATTCACATCATACAGAAAGAAATCCCACATCTGCCCAGCTCTTTCTAATGCAAAACCATGCTATTCTCCATAGGCCTGAAAATTCCCATCCTGTACCTCTTTCAGAGAATCACTCATGTTTATTAAAAAAGTAGCACCCATTAGATCAGAAAACTCTCTTTGCATCCTATCCCTCTGTAGTGCGAATTCTAATTGGTCTTAATAATAAAAACTCAGAGTCAGATATGGGGTAAATGATGAAAGAGAAGAGAGAGAGACAAAGGAGCAAGCCATAGGCACTTCTAACCTTGCCAGCTCATCAGCCTGAAAAGGGGGTGAGATCCTGTCTCCTCCTGCCTTATATTCTTCTTCCCACCCAGCCATATCACTTCCTGTTTCCTCCTCCCAAGTACTGGGATCAAAGGCTTGAGATCCCAAGTGAAGGGATTAAAAGTGTGAGCCACTACTGCCTGGTTTCTGTGGTTGACTAGCTGCTAGCTCCACCCTCCGATCTTCAGGCAAGCTTTATTTGTTAGAGCACAAACAAAATATCACCATGTCCCTTCTCAGAGACTTAGCTTTTTATTAATGCTTATACCCTGGTCTGTCTTTTCTTCTCTACGAGGTCAACTTCAGTCTTAAACTCAACTTTCAGATGAATTTAAGAATTCATCATTTTTGTACTTATTTCCTTCTCTGGTTTTTATGCCACTTCATGGTTAAGCTCAAAGAACTGTCAACACCCGTATTTCCTTCTTCACTGTTCAGTGTGTGAGTTCAGTATTACCAGATCTGCTGCAATGTTTGAACTTGTCTCTCTAGTTTCATTTGCCCACCTCCATTCATTTCCTAAGAAAAATCTAGAATGATCTGTTGTTATCATCATCATCATCATCATCATCATCATCATCATCATCATCATCAGAGCAAACATAGATTTATTAATGAAAAACGCTAAAGAATTCTTGAGAGTGAGAGAGACTGCAGGGAAGGAAAAAAATCATAGTTAAGATAAAGTCAGGTATAATAAAATACACAATTTTTTCCTTTTTATTCTTTTGAAACAAAAGTTTATTATGTAGCTCAGGCTGAACTTGAATTCATAATCCTCTTGCCTCAGCTTTCCAAATGTTGGATTACAGCTATGAAATGACAATTGGCTAATCCATATATCCTAAATGTCCACTACAACCCATGTGATCAACAGCCTAGGAAAGATACAGTTTCGTCATCCTACAAAGCTCCCTGTGCTTTTCTTAGCCAGTTTCTTTTATAAAGTCATATAGACAAGGGTGACCTCAAACTTGCTGTGGAACCCTAGAGTGGCCTTGAACTCTTGCTCCCCTCTGTTTCTGCTTCCCAAGTGCTTGGATTGTAGATAATGTGCCACCATACCTAGTTTCAAATTACCAATATATAGAGTTTTAAAACACATGGAATAAACATTGCTGTTTTTGGAACTTATATAAGAATAGAAGCATAAGTTAGTGCAGAGGTTGACAGACATCTAGCTCAGGAGAGAGATTATCTTGGGTAGGTGCCATCGGGAATCAGCACACATCAACTGTATTGGGATTTTTTAAATGTCTCAGACGTAGATGCAATCTTATTATTATTTGTATAGCTTTTCACACACCTGAAATGTATTTTAAAACTTCCATTTTGAAATACATACAGAACAGTGTACATTCTAAGTGCAGAGCCTGGTAACTAACAGAATCTTATCTTTATAGTCAACAGTATAAGAAAACTAAATGTAACAGTGTCATCCGCACAGAGTCTTGCCCTTTCCTCGTTCTTCACAATGTGCAATGTAACCTCTGTTAGGTGCTCAAGAGAGAATGAATGAAGAGTAAATTGTTTTGTAACTTTTATAAGGAAGCCAATGTCCTGAATTTTAGCATTATAACATAGTTTTCCTTGACTTAGAACTTGTAAAAAGGTAGCACTGGAACTCTATAATATATGTTCTCTTTTGTTTGTGACAGGTATGTAGTCTGGCTGGCACAGTCCTCCTGCTTCAGCTTCTCTAGTGTTGAGATTGTAGGCATATGCTACTATGTCCAGCGTTAACACTCACTCCTTCGAATCCTCCTTCTTAGGCTCATCATAATGTCCATAAGATTCATCGATAGTTTTAACCTATTAATGATTCATTTATTTTTATTTATGAGTTGTATCTCATTGGAAAATGATGTAATCATTTGGTTTGTGTATAATTTAAATTTTTAGTTTCTGCTGTTATGTATAAAGCTGCTCTGAATGTTGATTGCTAATCAA